TCGGACATTTTTCAGGAACAAGGAATAAACATCCTTCCTTACTCAAAGAAAGCGGTATCGTTACTTAATTCTTGACTTGAATGACTTTGTGTTTGTTTACTCTAACTAATTCTTTCAATCTTAATTTCTCCTAGTGGCTGGAGTTATGTAAAACTTACTTGATAGAGGCAAAATGGTACCACCAAGGATACACACCATCTTTGCAAGAGTACATTGATAATGCAATCATTTCAATATCAGCACCTTTAATATTGTTGCATGCTTATATTCTTTCTTCAAATCACATAACAACTAAGGTCCTACAATATTTAGAGGAAGAATTGCCCAGTATAATCCGTTGTTCATCAATGGTATTCAGGCTTGCCGATGATTTGGGAACATCACCGGTATTTACCCTTTGTCTCATTTTGCTTCTTGATTTGAGTTGTTTTTGCATGACTTAACAATCCTTATTTTTTTAGGATGAAATGAGAAGGGGTGATGTTCTAAAATCCATTCAATGTTACATGCATGAAACTAGAGTTCTAGAAGAAGATGCTCATGAACACATACAAGATTTGATTGACAAAACATGGAAGAAGATGAACAAAAATGAATTTGAGCCCTTTCTCCTCCCTCAAACTTTGATTGAAACTGCAATAAACCTTGCAAGAATGGCTCAATTTATGGACAAACATGGAGATGGCCATAGCTCTCAAGATGATGTAATGAGGCATCGCATATTATCATTGCTCATCAATCCTATCCCATTGCCTCGCCCTTAGGAATCACATGTTACTGCCTAAGCTTATGTATTTTCATTCTTAAATTTTTATGTCAAATGTATTTTAGGGGCTTAAACTGACAAACTTTCTGTAGTAAAGGGCTTTAAATCTTAAGTTGGACTTTCGACTTACTATGGGCGGGCCTCTTGGCCCTAGTAGAACCTGCAAAACGAGAGTACCTGAGCTCTACGCCACTTATGTTTCAATGGAAGTGGATATCACAAAGTCACAAGTCACAACTAAACTATGATTATGATATTGGGCCGAACTTAGTTGGACTTCGAAGGCCTCATACATGCTTGCATTTGGCAGACTAATAACTCAAACCCGTAACTACATGGTTTAGGGTAGTGCATAGTATATGTTGTTCACTGAAATTTTTTTTTGAAAACTTTATCTAAAAATTTACATTTTAGTTAATTTTTTAAAATATTAATATTTAAATTAAAATTTTTAATCCTATAAATTATTCTTGGCTTATCATATTGATTTAAGTTAAAAATTTTTTATTAAATAAATTCTATTTATTGATAT